GTCTGCCATCCCTAGGTGGCTCTCGGTCAGCAAGGCGGTGAACGGCCACACCAGGGGTGACTGACATTGGGGCGGCTGGTGTGAGAGGGGCACTAACCCCCTCTACTGTCAAAAGGAGCCAGTGTGCTCCTACAATGCAGCAAGTGAGAGCCTGGGGTGCTGAAGTCCTGAGCGGTAAAAACTGTCCCTCCCAAAAGGCCAACAGTGCCCCAAGGACCTGCAGTAGCCAGGGCAGGCTGGCACCCACAGACCTGGAGTGGGGCATGAGAAAGCAAAGGCCCCACCACAGGCCTGGGGTCCCAGGGGCATCCCTCCCCCATCACAGCCACCAGCGGGCTTACCAGGAAAAAGGCTCCTCCTAATTACAGGCTGAGCTGCCTTCCCTGGGCTGTCACCGAGGCAAGTGAGGCAGGGAGCTGAAAAGACTCCAGGAGCCGGCAAACACACTGCTGCACCTCCCCCGCCACCACACGGTTTCCTCATCTGCTAAACAGGCATCCTCGCATCCAGCTGTGAGACCAAGAACTGCTCCGGGGTGATAAGGTTTCTTTGATTCTTTTTAGAACCAACCAGAGACCCCTGGTCACTTGACGAAGTTTTTTTATCTCCAGCTCCCTATTCCCACTGGCTTCATGACTCGCTGCTCCCACAGCTCCCCACTCTGGCACAAACACAGGCTGCTCCTCTTGCCTCTCACCTCAGGGTATCTGCTGGTGCTTGCTCCTTCGCCCTCTTCTGGGCCTCAGTGATTCTCCTAGGCAGTACAATGATTCGTTTCTCTGTCCAGTGCAAATCCTCTCTCTCTCCCAGCCACACTAACCCGGAGGGGAAGGGGACTTCCATTTCATTCCAGGTACACCCTCCATGCCACAGAAGACTGACTACAAGCTTAGCCTATCAGAGAACTCCTCTTTAGCGGGCCTCATTGACTGGCCCAGGGAGCACCATAAGCCAAGCTGGGTCAATCAGAACTGTCACTGAGATCACTGATGCAAGACCTCCACTGGTAAGATTTTGGTTCATCCTTGAAGTGATAATGCTAGAAAACATAAAACTGCATCTTGCCAGAAGCTTCCAGGAGAAGCGCTGGTGTGACAGCGTAACCAACACGCACAGAAAGGTAGAATCTAGAGCCATGGTCTTGGCAACATTTGTATTTCAGGTTCCAACTAATCATGAGGCCCAGTGATCCCTCCCCCAATTTGGTTCTGTTGCTATTCACCTTCTCCTGTCAGCCTTCAATCATAGAAGATCAGTCTTTACCACTTAGCACTGAGAGTCAAGGAGAGTGAGATACAGCCAGACGCCTTGGTTTGGGCCCCAGCTGTTCCCTGACAGCTGTGTGACAATGGGCAAGTTAATCAACCTCCCAAGTACCCATACCCCTCCTTCTGTAACATGTTACCAGTGGCCTCTGAGGATTAACTGAGTTTATACCGTACCGACCAAACACTGCTCCGTGCTTGGTACCTACAGTAGACCCCCTTCCTGCAATTCACTTTCTGTAGTTTTAATAAGCCATGGTCAATCAGAAGTAGTACTATCTGCCTTGACTCTTTCAAGAGGTAGAGACCACGTTCCCATGGCTTTTATTACAGGACACTGTTATAACAGTTAGTTCTATTTTATCATTTGTTATTGTTAATCTCTTACTGTGTCTTATTTATAAATTAAACTTTATCATGGGTATATAGAGTATGTACAGGAAAAAAAGCATATATACAGTATGGTACTTTCTGGTATTTCGGGCAGCCACGAGGGGCTTTGAAAAACCTCCCTTTTGGAAAAGGGGACCCAGGACTTCAGTGCGCTGGGACAAGAACCAGGAACCCTGACCAAGGTTGGGGGTGGGGTGAGAGGCAGGTAGCTGGCTTCTGGCTGCCCACTGCCAGGCCTCTTACAGCCGAGGGCTTCAGGAGCCAGGGGTCCTAGAGTCGACACAGACTAGGGCAGTAATGCTAACGGTGGCCGTGACTATTTATTACTGAATACCCCCTGTGTTCCGGGTCCGAGCTGGGCACTTGGATTTTTAGACCTATACTGGAACTCTAAAGACCCCAGAGTTGGAAAATTCACCTTCCATCTTAGGAGAAGCCCCCGGGTGAGGAACCCTGGCATCTTGGGCAATGGAGACACTCCACCTCACAGCAATTATTCTGGGACATTCCTCAGCTCATTCCTCAGCCCTCAGTGCAGGAACAAAGTTTCAAATTTGCTGGGCCTCTAGGATGTGCCAGGCACCAATAAGACGTCTGTCTGTGTAAGTCATTCTACCAAACTGTTGTACTCAGTGAGGGAGAGGAACCCAAGACTCAGAAAGGTTAGGTGACTTGCTTTGTGTCAGTTCCAGGGCAACCCAAACCGTTAAGACTTCAAAGTCTACTCCCCATGAATGTCCAAATATCTCAGTCAACAGACACTCTCTCTCTGCACCAATGATTCGCACCCATCAATTCAGAATTGCTCAGAGCTTGTGCTCTAGCTGACAACAGTCAAATGAATCCCAGAGGGAGGTGGAGATCCCAGACATAAGTAAATATTTAACACAAGGAGCAAAATGCTTAGAAGCGAGAGGAACCCCAGCCCCTGCTTCCATGTCATGGTGCCTTGTAGTCCATCCCATTGTCCCAAAAGCCCTGCTATTACAAAGTAGGGCTTGAATGGCTAAAATGTGTCCGCAGATCCCAGAGCAGAAGTTGCAGAGAGAAACACCTGCAGAGCACTTCTCTTATGCAGCCCTGAGTTGCATAAGGATTTGGTGGGGACTCCAGGACCCCAGACAGTCCTAAGAGGAGGTAGGAACAGGTCAACAGATGCCACCCAGCCTGCCAGGTCTGCGACACTGCTGCATGAGGTGCAGACTCTGAGCCTCAGTGGGGAGGAGGGTTTTCCAAAGAGAACATCAGGCCGCAGCAGGATAGGAGTCCACACCACGGCTCCCAGGGCTCAGCAGGAATTGTGCAAATATTTACACACTCAATGCTCCCTGCACTTTTTTTCTTCAACTAGCTTCCTGGCTTTCTCAACTGGCCAGTTCAACACGCCCCTCCGCCTTGTCCCGCCCTCCACCAGTCTGAGTGGGGTTCACACATTGCTCAGCAGGCCAGAGCCCTCTAGATTTAGGGTGCAACTGGGCAGGAGGCAGGAACAACAGCACAGAAAACAGGAAGCCCACCGTGCTTATCTCAGCCAGCAGCTGCTGAGGCGCTGCAGCCTCCACCCCTCTCTCACCAGGCCTCAGTGTGGTCCTGGCCCTGGCCGTCAGTGTCTGCTTCTCCCACTACAGCCGAGTGCTCCCTCTGGTCTGCCAGGCTGCATGTGACTCTCCTGCCCCTGACACCCGCTGATCCAGCCTCCTGGCCCACTCCCTGGCCCCAGGAATGAGGCAGTTCGCCGGCAGCTGTGGAGTCCGGAAAACCAAACTCAACTACTCTTCCCGCCTCCTGGTAGGATCTTGGGTGCCTCATTTTACATTGGGCCTCTGCATCCTCACCTGTAAGATGCGCACAGTTCCCACCCCTGGGATTGCTTCCTGTCGTGTGATACGCACAAAGTGTCTTGTCTAATGCCTGACACCAAAGGGGACTTCATAAAATCAGCACACGCGTGGAGTTTTCATTATCTTTCTCCCTCCGATACTTTGCTATTTCTCATCCCATGGCTGTACCCACGGGTTCTTTCTTCCTGGACCACCCTGCCCAGCCATGTCTCACCGGCAAATACCTAACCATCTTTACTATGTAGTCCATTTTCCTTCATGGACAGTTTCTTTTACGCTCGTAACTCCCAGGCCTGGGCCGGGGAACAGAACTCCCGTCTCCGACACGCCCTGGACCAGCACCTGCTCCTTGGTCAGTGGCCCAAGGGTTCGGCCCTGGCTCTGTCCTTGCTAGCTCTGGGCCCTCAGGGTGGAGATGCTGAAAGCTGCCCTCGCAGCGCACAGTGAACATTCCCATCACCACTCGCACTACTACCCCTGCAGTTTGCAGTCACGGGGCTCAATGCCGTACGGTTCTTCGTGGACATAATTAAAATGTTCCTTAGAGACATCAAGGTGGTCCCTAGACAAAGTATCGAGAGTGACACTTCTGTGTTGAAAGGATGAGACTGAGCACGTGGAGGGGCAATGCATGAACTGTTCACCCATCACACATGGAAATCAAATGCACAAGGAGGGGAGAAGCGGCTCTCTCTTGTGACAGATAGATGTTCTCTTCAAGTTTCTACCTCCACGCATCCTTCCACCATGCAGAGGCACCTGGGGTGACAACCTGGCCACTTGGTGGACATTTCCAGATGAGACTGGACCACTTGCTAACTTTCTCCTTTTAACCTTCATGCGCTACATGGGCTGTGTACAATAAGCATGTGTTTTTCACCGAATGATAACCACCCTGACGCTCTAGGAGCCCCATGCAGGAGAATTTACGATGCAGAAGTAAAGATAAGGGGAGTCCAAGGTGCATGTCTCGGCATGGATGGGAGCCAAGGGCACATCTGTGTTAACTAGGCTGAAGAACTTACTGAGGGCACAAAGAAAGAGACAATAAAAAAGACAGGGTTTCGATACACTACTGGCCTTCTGACTGTATTCACACGGTTCTACCTTTGTGAATCTGACCAGCTAAGGGTGAAAAGTATGCAGGGGAAAAGGGTAGCACTCCTGGCATCTGATTGGGCTCACTTTCCACTGCGGGTGTTGCACTGTGCCTGTAGGGTGCTCAGTTGCACCTCTGGCCTCTACCCACCCCTAACCCCAAGTTGCCCGCAGACATTAACAAATGTCCCCAAGGAGCAAAGTCACCTAGGCTGAGAATCACTCACGGTCCAGGGCTGGAGGGTGGAGGACCGTCCATCTCCTGCAGGCCACAGGAGGGAGGACCAAGGCCAAGTTCCCTCTCACTGCAAGGGCCAGGCCACCCCCTCCCCCAGCCAACTCCCGCAGGTGGGCACTGTGTGGCCCTGCCTTTCCCAACTGGTCACCCAGTGGCCACCCTTACCCAGTCTGATGTCTCCCTCCAGGGTCATCAGCACATTGCCAGCCTTCAGGTCACGGTGGATGATCTTCTTGTTGTGCAGAAAGTTGAGGGCTTCTAGCATCTGGCGGCAAACGACCTGGATCTGGGGCTCGGTGAGGCCTCTGTCCAGCTCTGGAAAAAGTTGAGCAAGCACTTACTGTGGGCAAAGGAATTGCAGGCACTTGACCTTATTGACCCATTTTGTCCCGAACAACTCTATGGAGCAGACAGAGTTATCACCCCATCTCACAGATGAGGAAAACAAGGCTCACAGAGGTCACTTGCTCAAGGCCGCAAAGTGGGGAAGGCACAGATCTGAGATTCAAACCAGAAAGTCTGGCTTCACAGTTTAGGTTCATAAACACAACCCCTATAACATGAAGAGATCCACTGTGTCAGCAGACACAGACTGTCTTACTAGGTTTTCCACTGCTGTAACAAAATACCTGACACCAGGTAACTAATGAAGAATAGAAATTTATTTGGGTTCAGGGTTCTGGGGGCTGGGAAGGCCAAGAACATGGTGGCAACGTGTGGTAAGGCCTTCTTGCTGATCATGATGCAGAGGAGGGCATCACATGGCCATGGGTATTAGAGATCAAACCCAGGGCCTTGCACATTGCTAGGCAAGCATACCACCACTGAGCTACACCCCAGTCTTCCTCTTCCTCTTCTTATAAAGCTCCTAATCCCATCACAGGGGCCCTATTCTCACGACTTCACCTAACTCTATCTACCTCCCCAGGAGCCACCTCCAAATGCCATGAACATATGAGCCCGGGAATTAAGTTTTGAACACATGAACTGTGGGGGCCACATTTAAACCACAGCACCCTGTGAGTGCTTTTCAGGTGTCTTCAAGTCTGTGCCTGGTGTTCGGATGCAGAGAGGGACATGGGCATGGTGAACGATGCTCAGACACTTGAGCTAGGCCTTGAGGGAAGAGAGGAGAAAAAGCGGGACAAGGGCAGCCCAGGTCAAGACCAGCAGAAGCTCAGCCTGGAGGCAGACATGAGCTGGTGTGCTGAGGAAACATCTGTGCCTGCCTCTTACAGTGGCCAAGAATCCACCAGGTCCAACGCTCTGCCAGATCCCCTGGGAATGGTCAAAATAAACACACAGCCAGGGCTGCAGGTGCCAAGCACACTGGCCTGAGAAGCCAGGCCCCAAGCAGGGCTCCTGGACCAGCGCCCCTCTCTCTGAGGTCCACAAGCTGCTCCCTTCCGTGTGTCCTCAGCCGGAGCCAGAAACCACGCCCTGCCCTCAGCAGCTATGTGGCTCCTGACAGGTGGCTAAGTGCTCTGGGCCTTTACTTCCTAGTCTACAAGATGCAGTGATTGCAACTTATAAGGCAAGGTTCTGTGCATAAAGCATGCGCATTTTTCAGGGTGTCAGATAGGCAATAAAAAGTGATTACTGAGGCCAGGAATAGTGGCACACGCCTGTAATGCCAGCACTCGGGGGCTGAGGCAGGAGGATCACAAGTTCGAGGCCTGCATGGGCTGGACGGTGAGTTCAGGATCAGCCTGGACTACCTCGTGAGGACCTATCTCACAAAAATGACTATTACACTGTTTCTGAAATGAGTCCAGGGCTGGAGTATCAGCAGCAATTTTTTTTAAAACATGTTTAAAAATGTGACTTATTCATGTCTGATCTAAGATTAAAAAAAAACAATAAAAATAACAATGCTATGCTACAGATAATTATGATCTAGTCACCACCATTTTTGCGCCCTTATAATGTGCAAGCCATCAGACGAAAGACTTAGTGCGTAAGCTCGCTGAAGCCCCACACTAACCACAAGCCCACGGGACGATTCACGCCTCAAAGCCAGGCTTACTGACGTACAATTTACATATGGTGAAATTCCCCTTTGTTTGAATGTACAGCTCTATAAACTTTAACACACATAACCCCCATCACATTTTAGCTCCAGCAGACTTCCATCATTTCCTAAATTCTCCCACGCGCTTCATCGTTAAAACTTCCTGCCCCCTCCGGCCTCTTAGTAATCCCACGTTTGAGTTCCATCCCCATTGTTCTGCCTCTTCCTAGAATGCCATAAAACTAGACTCATAATACAAAGCCTTCCAAGACCCAAATTTTTAAGTACGGTTCTGACTTACAGAGCATTACATGAATACCTTCTCCTTACTTTTTAAAAAGTACATCAACCAGTGGTTGTACGTATAGCTACTTAGAAGCTGGGGCAGGAAGGTCGAGAATTTGAGGCTAGCCTGGGTAATTTCGAGAGGTCTGTCTTACACTGTGAATTTTAAAGAAAGGGCTGAGGTGTGATTCAGTGGCCGAGTATTTGCCTGGTATGTGTGAAGCCCCAAGTTCAGTCCTCAGCAGTGTAAAAACAAAACAAAACAAAACGTCACCGCTAAGTCTTGGTCCCTTCTGACGCCACCTCCGATCCCAGCCCTGACCTTTGACTAGATGAGGGTTTACAGCCCAAATGCTTTCACACCAGGCGCGGTGTGGCCAGTCATGTCCTTCCCAACCTGAACAGCACAAGGTGTCAGACTAGAACGGACGCACAGTGACCAGACACATGGGATTCTGTCCACCTCACAAAAGGGCCGGCTAGAAACAGACAACTGGAAATGGACCCCAGGTCTCCAGACCACTGCCCAGGCTGCTCCCAGCCCCCAGACAACGGCAAGGTGGAGGAAGGGCAGGAAGCCCCTAGGCAGGGCAGGTGCCAGTGGGAGGCCAGGCAGGCACAGAGCTGTAATTGGGACACAGCTCCTTCCTTGTCAGGTGACTCTACCCAGCTTCTCACACCTTGATTTCCAGGGAGTTTTCTCCAAAACCCAATTTGAAAATTTTGGCTCCTTAATCTCTTGTGAGTCTCAACTCATACAAAGCTATCAGTTTTATTTGTTGGACTCAGCCTCAAGGACAGAGTCTGTTGACACGGCCAGTATCTTCTTTCCCGTTGTCATTTACCTGCCTGTGAGAATTGGGAGGGGCCCAGGGCTCTGCAGTTGGGACATTCCCAACTGGGACATTCCCTTGAATCCATATGGTAAAGGCTTGGTCCTCAGCTTTGCACTCAGGGGGAATGGGGACCCTTTAAGGGGCGGGGCCTCGAGGCTGTAGGTCACTAGGGGCGTGTCCTTGAAGGGAGAGTGGGTACTGGTCTCTTCCTGTTTTTCTTTCTTAGTCATGAGGTTACTGCTGCTTCTGCCAAGGGCTCCCTACCCCACCATGATGTGCTGCCTCCACATGGGCTAAAAGCAACTGGGCCAACAGACCAGGAACTGAAACTTCCAAAGCTGTGAACCAAGATAAACCTTTCCTCTTTTTAATTTTCCTCTTTGATTTTCTTAGGCATCTGTTATAGTAACAGAACAATGGCTACCACAGGGCTCTGCAAGGAAGGCCTGTGGGTCCAGCATTTCTCTGGCTCCTGCTGGGGATGATCTGCTATAAATGTGAAACAGCCCTGAGATAAATGGGCAGAGGGGGAAACTGGACAGATGGACAGGTTTTGTACATTATGCTGGGGCTCTTTTCGTGAGCCATTCTAGAATCCCAGGCTTGCCATCCACCTTCCGTGGACCTGACCCGTGGCCACTCCTCACTCACTGCCCTGAGGGCTGGCACAAGCAGGGAGTGATGCGGGACAGTGCTTAGGAGTGAGTGTCACCCAGACCCGGATTTGTATCTCAGTTCTGCTCTGCGACACGGCAAGTTTCTTCTTAACCTCCAAGTCAGTCTGATTAAGAAGAAAATATAGCAGTGCCACATGCCTATAATACCAGCACTCTGGAAGGCTGAGGCGGGGGATCTCAAGTTCAAGCCACCCTACAACTTACTGACTTCGAGAGACCCTGTCTCAAAATAAAAAAATCAAGAAAGGCCTGGGGATATAGCTCAGTACAAAGATCCTGTGTTCACTCCTCAGTACTTGAAAAAAGAAGAAGAAAACACAGGGATACTCTTTCTGATTTTATACCTGAGGTTAAACGAGGATAGTATATGAGAAAACACTGACACAATCTGGCACGCAGCAACTGCTCACAGAACTGCGGTTTGGATGGGATTTGAGGCTGGTGTGCTGGAAAAGCTGGGTTCGCAGTGGAGCCACGTTCCAGAGAGGTGGAGCCTAGCACAGGTAATTAGGAAATGGGGGCGTTGTCTTCGGAAGGGACTAACCCTTGGATGAAGGAGTGAGCCGGGTCTTAGAAGAGCCAGTTGTTATACAAAGGGCCAGGCTGTCCCTGATCGCTCCAAGGCCACCTCCATGCGGGCCCTCACCAGACACCACACATGTGGGGACAATGACCTGGGACTTTCGGCCCCCAGACCTGTGAGCCACATAAGCCTCTGTCCTTTTTAAAGCACCCAGTCTTGGGTGCTTTGTTTTTCAATAGGAAATGCACTAAGACACGAAATAACGGTTACTACTAATAACCTTATTGTCACTGTTGGTGGTGGTACTGTTCAAGCTTGCCTCAGACATCGAGATCACTACTGAGTATGTCCAAAACGGGTGGGGCACTCTAGGTCAGACGTGCCCCCAAAAGACCCATGTCGGAAACTTGATCCCCGATGCACCAGTGTTGACAGGTGGGACTCTGGGAGGCGACTGGCTCTGCCCTCCTGAATGGATTCCTGGCACTGTTTTGTGGGTGGATTGTTTCTCGCGGAGGTGGGGGACGACTGCAGCTCTCCTGCTCTCTTGCCATCTGCCATACACCACCAGATGGCACAGCAAGAAGTCTGCACACTGGTACCTGGCGTATGGACTTCCCCACCACCATGAGCCACCTTAATTTCCGTTCTTTATGATACTGTCCAGCCTCAGGTGTTCTGGAGAGCAGCAGAAAAGGATGAAGACAGCGGGGGGCCCTTTTTTGAAAGAAACTCCCTGTCAGGTGTGGTGGCACCCTCCCATAATCCCAGCTACTCAGACAGCTGAGTCAGGAGTATCTTGAGTTTAAGGTCAGCCTGGACAACTTAGTGAGACCCTGTCTTAAAAAAGAGGAGGAACTGGGCTGTAGCTCAACTGCACCCCTGGGACTGATCTCAGTACTGCACACACAGGACCTCCTAAGTGTCTCATTCTCACTCCTAAGTGCGCCGTGTGGTCAGGCAAGTGAGGAGTCACACCCATCTTACAGCCAGGGAGGCTCAAGAGGGTAGCGACCCGTGAAGCACTGGGGCCTTCGCATGGGAAGGGCTGGTCTTCCAACGACTGCCCGGCAATCTCTCCAAGAGATGACCCTTCGGGGGACACAACAGAGAGATTCTCAGAGACCACAGGCTCCCTGCAGTGGGGGAAAGGGGCCCATCCAGGAGTCTGCTTGAGGACTCAGGCCAAGCCCCTCTGCCCCGAGCCGTGCTCTGGCCAAAGAAAACTCACCCAGCATGATGGCATCCACAGCTCCCCCAGGACAGAACTCGATCATGATCTGCAGAAACACAAGGCAGAAAAGATGAGCAGGGCGCCCTGCCCTACAGGGAGAGACCCCCACAGGCCAGTGTCCCAGGGCCCCAGTCCCCAGCCTGTCCCCTTCTCCCCTGCCAACCTGTCCCTAGCCTCACAGGTGGCTCTGACACCAGCGCAGTTGCCTGAGTGCTTCATGTTTCCGAAAAAGAGGAACCAAGCTTCTATAGAAGCCTAAGCTTCAGCAAGGGCCTTCCGCCCAGACCTGCACCTGGCTGCCCGCCAGCCTGCCCACTCCAATCCACCTGCTGGCCGCCCTGCTTCCCATGCTCCACGGCCACAGCCCCAGAGGCCACCTTCCCCGCCCACATCCACTTAATTGACTATGTGACCTTGGACAAGTCAGGATCCCTGAGTCTGTTTCCTCCTCTGTAAAATAGCACATTCATTCATTCATTGAGCTGGGGTCTCACTTTGTAGTCCAGGCTGGCCTTAACTCACTATGTAGTCTGGGGTGGTCTTATCTCAAGATGCTCTTCCTGCCTCAGCCTCCCAATTGCTAGGATTAAGACATGCAGCACCACCCACCACCAAAAATGGCACTAACAAATTCCGCCTCCATCTTCAAGACAATTAAATGAGATTCCTGGCATAAAAGCACAGCATGAAAGCCGCACTATTAATACATATTTATTAACTCTCTGGCAAATGGGACACTTTTCAGCAGAAAAACGTCATACTCAGATCATGTCAGTCAGGCTGCCCACAAAAATATGCCTTCCCAGAATGACGGTTTATCAATACACCCTCAACAGCTATGAAGAGCCAGTGCGAGATACGGCCAAACCCAGGCAGGTCCTGCATCTGCCAGTGAAACCGTCCCTTGCATAACACCATTCATGACCCAAGGTCCCCACGACTCAGCCTCTCCTGGGTCAGAACCAGGAAAGCTCATGCATTTGGAGAACCTGGCTCATTTTCTCAGAAGTTCAACAGCTCCATGAACCCTTTTATTTTTACTTTTGCCTTGGCTGCTGGGAAGCTCCGAGTGAAGCAAGCTTCCTCAGCTTTGGTTTGATTCTCTCACCCTACTCATTGCTTTCAGTACATGGGTCTAGGGGATTTAGTCCATGGCTGGTCAGTAGCATCGTGCTGCAAGGGGCTTGTATTATAAATCTGTCAGTGCTGGGCGTGGTGGTGCATGCCTGCAATCCCAGAACTCAGGAGGCTGACAGAGGAGGGTTGCCATGAGTTGAAGACCAGCCTGGGCTACACAGTGAGGTCAAGGCCAGCCTGAACCACGTAATGAGAGACCCTGTCTCAAAAAAACCCCAAAATAGGGCCAGGGATATGGCTCAGTGGCACAGCACCTGCCTGGTAAGGGCAAGGTCTTGAGTTTGATCCCCAGTACTAAATAAGTAGATAGATAGATAGATAGATAGATAGATAGATAGATAGATAGATAAGGGGAAAAGTAAAAAAAAAAAAATAATCTGCTAGAGCTTGCACAGAAATTTGCAGGGTTTGGTGAATAAAGCACTAATCTCAATAGTAAACAATAAGACAGTCAGCCCTCCGGATCTCTGCATTCTGCATCCATGGATTCAATCAACTTCAGACTGAATATTCATGAAAAAGTGCATCGGTACTAAATAGATAAAGTTACTTTTTCTTGTCACTGTTCCCTAAATGGAGTAATCTGGAGGCGGCGGAATGGTACAGGAGGACTGCATAGTTATGTGCAAACACTGTGTCCTGTCACATAGCTGCAGACCTTGGTATCCACAGTTCCTGGGGCCAGCTGCCTCCTACAGGAAGAGGTGACCATAACCAGGATAATAGTAAGTGCAAACATAATAATCACTTCCATGCCTTAGGAAGTTATTAAATAGACACACGAGAAGAGAGAATGGGAATGTTTACATTCATAGGAGCACCACATTTTACACGTTATTCAATCAAAATGTGTGAGAAAACTCTTATCCTGCTGGACATGGTGGCACAGCCTGTAATCCAAGCATTCTGGGAGACTGAGGCAGGGAGACAGCAAGTTCAAGCCCAGCCTGTGCAACTTAGCAAGTTCCTATGTCAAAACCAAACTAAAAGGCTGGAGATGCAGCTCGGTGCAAAGGCTATGACTTCCCTGTACCACAAAAAAATAAGGAAAGAAAGATGGAAGGAATAAAGGAAGGAGAAAAAGAAAAAGAGAAAAGGGGCTGGGGATAGAGCTCAGCAGCACAGCACCTGCCTGGCAAGCGTGGGGTCCTGACTTCAATTCCTGGTACAAAAAGAAAAAAAAAGAGAAAAAGAAAGGACTGGCTGGAAATAATGCCCAGCTACAGATACAGGAGACCCTGTGAAGAGGACAGGGCGTCCGGCTGCCCACAGTGCTGCTGCCACAGCTTTTTGGATGCAAAGGCTCCTGAGGACAAGCGGAAGTGCAGCTGTCACCAAGCTCCCAGCACCGATGTCTGGTTCCTGAACCAGCCAGGGCACTAAGCAGCCTAACTTGTAAGTGGCTTGGAGTTTTCTCCAGACCTGGGCACCTGAAGTTTGGGATCAGTTTACTGTATCAACAAATAGCAACTGAGTCTCCACCAAAGGCCCACACTGCTAGGCACCACGGGGACCCAGCAAAGTTGCATTCAATCAACAAACACTATCTGAGCTCTTAGTCTGTGTCAAGCTTGGGGACAGAGAACCCAGGACAAATCCAACAGGCTCTTGCCCAGGACCAGCGGCAGAGGAAGACACAGAGATAAGTGGTGCAGCCCACAGGGATCACCGAACCAGGGGCCCGTGGATGCCATGATTGTCCAGACTGGAGGGAGCTACCCTGAGGCCATCCCAGAAGCATCCCGGGAGAGGTGCCACCAGGCTGGGCTCTGAAGGGAGAATTTGTTCAGTGGAGAAGAACGAGGACACTGCAGGCAGAACACGGCAAGGGCAGAAGCGGGCATCGTGGGAGAACGGGGCAGGTGGGCAGCGTGGAGCGTTCCGTGGGGTTCGGGAGGGTGGGAGGAGAGCAGGCTGGAAGGGTTGGAACTAGAGTTGCAGCATTTCAAAGTACGAGCCCTTATTCCGAGAAGTGTGTGCACATGCGCACGTGTGTAGATGCACACAGGATTTAAGCCAGGGACGCAGTGGACAGGTCTCTGCTTTAGAAATAGCCCGCTGAATGTGGACTCTTTGGAGGCTGGAAAAAAAAGGGAAGAGTGGATTTTGGACAGACAGGAAAGAGGGTACTCTGTCCTGCTACCTGGGGCATCATATGGGGGCTGTCTCCCACTCTAACGCGGTATTTCTTCCTTCCTCTTGGTGAAAAAGCCACGTGACCTTGCCGGGATTTATCCCATCCCCGGCAAAGGGAGGGGAAGGGAGAACTGGGGAGGGAAGAAAAAGTGTAGAATGCCACGCGGTCGCACTCTAGAGCCAGCTGGAAACACAGCCCTGATGGTTGCAGACACCGTCTTGCAACCACGAGGGAAACCAACATGAAGGAGAAGCTGATGTACACAGGAAGACAGAGAGAAACAGCAAACCAGAGATGGAGCCTGGCTCACACCCCACCACCGACTGGCCTTTCAGATAAAATGATGCATTTGTTTGGTTGTTTAGGTTAGCTTGACTGAGCATGTGTACTGTCTCAGGTCATTATCGGTTACCAGAAGTGCCTGCCCTCACACTTGGCAAGACACGTGGAGTGTGAGTTAGGCCCCTGAGAAGGGAGGACGAGGAGGCCAATTCAACAGGCAAGTAAGCACTTCCTGCACCACCTAGAGATCGACCCCATACTCCAGGTGGTACGGGTGAGAATGCCACACTGTGGTTCTCAAAGTTGTGTATGAGGCACAACATCCTAGAGAGTGTGTCACACACAGACTACTGGGCCCCGCGTCTGCATTTCTAACTGTGCTGGCTGCCCCCGCTGAGGTCCCCAGACCACACTTTGCTGGAGATGCTCTGCAGGGCAAGGGGCCTCCCTCCCCTGGGGCCCCACCTCTGCTCTCCCTTACAAGACTGCAGTGTGACACTGTGGTGGGGACACCTGCAGGCAAAGGGCATTGGGACTGTGTATCTGATGCTCCTGTGGCCCCACCAGCACTGCCCTTTCTCTGCTGGTCTCCGCCCAGTGCAAGCACCACCCCCCAAGCCCTGCCCCAGCCGGCTGGAGAAGCTCTGCACTTCCGCCAGGCTACAGCCTGAGACAAGGCTGAAGATGGTTCCGCTGACATCTGTATGCATTTACATAGCCTCCAGCTGTACAAAAAAAAAAAAAAAAAAACAAACAATAAACCCTGGGGGCCTGTGAAAATATGTCCAAGGAGCACTTGGGGGTTAGTGAATGTCAAATAGGTAGAGATACTACGCAAGCACCCACAACGAAAGAAAAATTAGACACACTGGACTCCATCAACAGATATTAGCAAGGATAGGCATGGTGTCACATGCCTATAATCCCAGCACTTGGGAGGCTGAGGCAGGAGGATCAACTTGAGTTTGAGGCCAACCTGGACTACACAGCTAGACCCTGTCTCAAGAAACAAACAGACTTCTAGACAAGATACAGTAAAAAAGTTTCATGACATTGGTCTTGAGAAAAGCATAAGAAACAGAATCAAAAATAAACAAATAAGGTGACAACAAACTCAAATGCTCTACATAGCAAAGAAAATAACAGAGTGAAAAGGCAATCTACAAAATTAGAAGAAATAAAGCAGGCACAGTGGTGGATACCTGTAATCCCAGTATTCTGGGAGGTTGAGGCAGGAGGATTGCAAGTTGTAGCACAGCCTGGGCAACTGAGCAACTTAGCAAGACCCAGTTTTAAAAAAGAAAAAAAAAGGACTGAGGGTATGTATACCCCAGCGTGAGGGCACTGCGTTCAGTCCCAATGCCAGAAAAAACAAACAAACAAACAAAAAAACAAAAAAAAAAAACGGTAAACCGTATGTTTAAGAAGAGGTTTATCTCTAAAATACACAAGGAACTCCTATAATTCAACATCAAAAAAACAAAAAACAA